GGCAGGAGAATTGCCTGAACCCAGGAGGCGGAGGTTGCGGTGGGCCGAGATCGCGCCATTGCACTCCAGCCTGGGTAACAAGGGCGAAACTCCAACTCAAAAAAAAAGAAAGAAATGCTACACTTTTGCATACACGTTTGATTAAAATGCTTCACAACTCTAATACTTGTTGCCTTTGAGATTTCCTGACAGTGTGCTTCAAAGTATATTCTGTTTCATCTCTGCTAAAAAAAACTAATGCTGGCCATACCATCAATATACTTCACCCTGAAAAAATGCACCCTAGGATACATGTCTAAGAGAAAATCTATAGCTCTATGCTATCAATCTTATTGTCTCCTCTAAGAGCAAAAAGGTAAATAAACCTTAACCAAATTCTAATATATGCTGAGCAAAGACAATGTCAGGTTACCTAACACTACCAAATAATGCCACATAGCATTTAAACTTTGACCCCTAACTCTACTCATTCTGCAGCCAGTATCTCCAAGTACTCTGTGGACATACTTGGCTGTTTTCTGGTATATCTGGTATGGAGGTACCTTCAAAATGCTATATACTTAACAAATAGGGGACAAAACAAGATGGAACTTGGGAAAAGAATATTGAGAATTACAGGCCTGAGAGTAACAGGTTCCCTTTTCTTTTACAAACTAATGACAGTATAAATATGTGATATGTGAGAGAATGTTATCATTTTTAATAACTAATCAGCACAAACAAGGGATATAACACTTGAAGAATATATCCTGTAAAGTCCTGTTATATTTGCAAACAATCTCACATATTCTGTTAATGTTTTCATGTTCTGGGCAACCAACTCTTCAGATGATACCCAAGCAGGATTGAGACACCTCATCCAACTATGGCATTTCTTATGCATTCCAGAATAAAAGGACTTCTAAAAATAGCTTCCTTACATGACACTGCATAATTATCACCAGTAAAATTACTAGCCCTTCCGGCGAAAAAAAATCATAACGCCATCCAAATATACATGAAAAAAAAAAAAACTATCCAATCTGGTTTACAAAGAAGATACTAAAAACCGAGAGGAAAAAAATATATATAGTTTATTCTGATTCTTCCTAAAAAAAAAGATTGGTCACTCAAAGACAGAAAAGCAGTACACATCCCCAAATAATGTAAACATAGTGAAGGTGTTTATATATTTCAAGCTTTACAAAGGTCAAGGAGATCTTTCTCAATACCCTTTCTTTGGATCCTATACGGCTGAGGGTAAGGCAAATACACTTAGGCTCACAATATTAAGATAAATTAAAACATGACCAAAATTTTGCTCTATTCACCATGGATTCCTTTCACAACTCTAATTTGGCACGTTCCATTTAAAAATTAATATCTTTACAGATGAATGCCAACTAATAAATGAAGGAGCAACAAAATTAGACAATAACCTTTTTGCAACCACCTATGCAGTACCAACTCAGGTCAAGGATCATCAATAGATACTCAAACAGCGGGGAGGAAGACTATGGGAAATAGGATATTCCCACAGTCTGAGAGTCATCCCCTCAGATTACTTATTAATTACAAAGGAGAAAAACAGGTGGACACTATCTTAACCAAATATTCAATTTAGCATAGTCAATAATAGAACAAATTAACATGATATGCCTCCTGATGTGATGCAATGAAAGACACAGGATCATCTGTGTATTATTTCCAACAAAATAATCTGATTCTAATCATGACTAACTGACAATATAGGACACTCTGACTGACATGAACTCTATAAAAATGTCAGTGTCATAGAACACCCACAAAAGGCGAGGGAACTGTTTGTTCTACATAGAAGTCTAAAGAGACATGACAACCAAAGGTAACATAGGATCCCTGAGAAGATCCTGGATTTAAAAAAAAGGAAACTTGTAAAGGGCATTTTGGGGACAAATTTACGGATGGGCTATATATTAGATAAAACTTTTGTTTCCATGTTAAGTTTCTTGAGGGTGACAATGATACTGTAGTCATGTAGGATAATGCTCTTGTTCTCTTAGGATATATTTGCTGAAGGGCTTAAAGGTGAAATCTCATAATCCTTGCAATTTATCTCAAATGGTTCAGGGAAAAAAATGTATAAAAGCTGGAGAGAACTCTCATACAATGCTGCTAAGAATGTAGAATGGTAATTACTTTGGAAAACAGTTTAGCAGATTCTTAAAAAGCTACACATAACTTTACCACACAAATTAACAATTCCCTTCCTATGTATCTACTCAAGAAAAATCTAAAAATATGTCCACCCAGTCTCACAAGTGAAATGTTCGCAGCAGCTTTATTCATCATATAGCCAGTAAGTACAAACTCAAATGTACATCAACTTATAAACTGATATAATGATTCGTGATCCTAATGTCTCAAAATAGTCCCTCACATCAAGTAACATTCAGCCCACATTATGTTCACGCCTCAAATCAATAAACATACGCGTAATAAACTGAGATGACAACACCTACTTTTTGTTACATGGTGCCACCCAAGACCTAAAATAAACTGATAGAAAGTAAAAAGTGGCTAAAATAATAATAGATCCATCTACAAAAGATCACAAAAACAGTCAAGACTCAGCCTTGTCCAAGACACCTTCAGAGGCTACCTGTGAGAACTCTGAAGCCCTCTTTTTTTTGGAGACAGTCTCACTCTGTCATCCAGGCTGGAGTGCAGTGGCAGAATTATAGCTCACTGCTTCACTGCAGCCTAGAACTTCTGGGCTCAACCAATCCTCTCACCTCAGCCTCCCAAGTAGCTGGGAATACAGGCACATGCCACCACTCCCAGTTAGGTTTTTTTTTTTTTTTTTTTTTTGAGACGGAGTTTCGCTCTTGTCGCCAGGCTGGAGTGCAGTGGTGCAATCTAGGCTCACTGCAACCTCCGCCTCCCAGGTTCAAGTGATTCTCCTGCCTCAGCCTCTGGAGTAGCTGGGATTACAGGCACCTGCCACCACACTCGGCTAATTTTTTTGTATTTTTACTAGAGACAGGGTTTCGCCATGTTGGCCAGGCTGGTCTTGAACTCCTGATCTCAGTCAATCCATCCACCTTGGCCTCCCAAAGTGCTGGGATTACAGACATGAGCCACTTTGCCCAGCTGAAAAGGCAGATCTTTAGAGACAAAAAAGATTAGTGGTTGGCTAAGGCTGGGGATGAGTATGAATTAACTGTAAATAGGCAGAAAAAATCTTACTGGAGTAATGAAAGTGTTCTAAAACTGGATTGGGATGATGGTTACAGACTGATAAACTTACTAAAAGTCATTGAATTATACATTTAAAATGGGTTAACTTATGGTATGCAAATTATACTTCAGTAAAGGTACTTAAAACATAAAGCAAATGTGGCAAAATGGTGATTAACTGGTGAATCTATGTGAAGAGTATACAGAATCACTATGTTGGCATCTCAGCTTTTCTATAGGTTTGAAACTCTTCAAAATTAAAAGCTGAGGATAGGGCTAGGTGCGGTGGCTCACACCTCTAATCCCAGCACTTTGGAAGGCTGAAGCAGGCAGATCACTTGAGGTCAGCTTGGCCAACATGGTGAAACCCTGCCTCTTCTAAAAAAAAAAAAATACAAAAATTAGCCAGGCACAGTGGCATATACCTGTAGTCCTAGCTACTCAGGAGGCTGAGGTGGGAGAATCACTTGAACCCAGGAGGTGGAGGTTGCAGTGAGCAGAGATCACACCACTTCACTCTAGCCTGGGTGACAGAGTGAGATCCTGTCTCAAAAAAAAAAGGAAAAAGTTGAGGAGAAATCAGA